ACACACACACACACACACACACATACGGACTATTTTAACCAATTCAGGGAACAGACAGAACATCATTATTTAATGTTATTTAATGTGTGTGTATCAACAATACTAGTAGTGTTCTGCATTCTTTTTCCTGAAATTCTCATTATTTGCTTTCTAACTGAATTATGTTTTTAATGCTATATGTCCTGTGTTGAATACCCTGTTTTCTTTGTCCTAAATTTCTCATTAGTTCTAACTGAATTTTAATTTTTAATTGGCTAATTAAAACAATTTTTCATGTGGATCATGTCAAGAGGAAAAGAGGTGTACCTTTCCTTGCTACACAACGAGACCCCCATGAAAAAACTCCACAACTATGATGGTTCAAGCATCCTTAAATATCATTAATTTTTTTTAAAAAATCCTATATCTAACATGGTTATGTAATAGCTAACATCTAACAATGGAGGCATTCACACCGTGGCATCATTATATCACATATTTAGAAGGAAAAAAAATGGTTTCCTAAATATCACAGCCAAAATTTATCTCTGAGATAAAATGAATCCATTTCCTTTCTTCATTTATCTTGTAGGTATCTTGGTTTACTATGAATTTTGAGATGTGAATCAGCAGTTACTGCAAACCATGAAATGAAACACTGCTTCCTTCTTCTTTTAACTCCAGAAATACCAGCCATGTTTAATTAATATTCCATCCATCTCTGCAGTATCTGTGAGGAAGAGGGGCAACACACACACACACACACACACACACACTCACTCGCACACACATTCCTTTTGCACCATCGCCCACTCACTTCAGTGTTGGGTTTTCCGAAAAATATTGGGAAGTTGCCCCAAGGATGGGCAACGGGCGATGTGTGAAGGGTTCATTCAGGATCTCCTCCTCCTCCTCCTCCTCCTCCTCCTCCTCCTCCTCCTCCATCATCTGGGTCACCCTGGAAGGTGCTTCCTTCCATCCCGGGCCGTTCACACAACCAACTCTTTTTTGCTTTCAGGAGCTGTTAGAACCGAAATTGGTTACTCCTCTCGATCGTGGTTATTTAGGATGGTTTGGTTCCTCGCGGTGTTCAAACGAGATTGCGACACTGGCGCCCAGACCTCCATCTACTGTGCCACCGAGGAGGGCATCGAGAGTCTGAGCGGGCAGTATTTTGCGGACTGCCAGCCGAAAATGCCCTGCCCGCAGGCCCGTGATGACCAGCTGGCCAAGAAGCTGTGGGAATTCAGCGAGAGGCTGCTGGGACTGACCACTTAAGTCGGGAAGGGACAGAGACGGAGTTTGGAGTAACGAAAAACGGCTTCTGATTAGACTGGGGGATCGAACTGCAGGGAATCTCCATACTACCTGTCACAACCATATTTTGGAGGGCCTTTTCTTTTTCTTCTAAACGCAAATTGCATTCTCTTCTCTGCCTGGGTTCTGCCATACTCCTGGAGGGGAGGGGGAAGCACTCGGTGTTTATTGCCTTGTTTCCTCTATCGCAGAGGTGTCAAACTCAATTTCATTGAGGGCCGCATCAGCATTGCGGTTGCCCTCGGGGGGTGGAGGGTGGGCGGGAGGGGGTGCGGCCAGGATGGGTGTGGCCTACTGCGTGGAGTGTGTGTGGCCTATTGGGTGGGCATGGCCAGCTCTACATTGTTCGCGTCAAGGCTGCCTGTGGGGGCCTGGGCAGGAGTGGGACAGATCTGAGGGTCTCTGGCAGAAGGGGGTGGGACCAGGGCAAGCGCCAAGGCATGGTCCACTGGAGGAGCCTCACTGCCTGCTGAAACCCCTCCGCCGGAGCCCATCAAGCCGGATATGTGAAGTACGTGAGGGCCATTTGCTGGCCACTTCCAGGTGATGGTGCTGTGATGACCCAGGGCCCCGAACGGAGGCAAAGCACTTAGCTGGTCAGAATAATTGTCTTTGTAAGCACTGCCAACGTTCACCCAACAGCCCCCACATATGCTGGCACAAGTTCAATAAAACAGTCAACGGA